ATAGCAAAGCACCGGACAACTTGTTCGGATCTGTCTGTGCCAAACTCGACAAGCACCAAAAAGAAAAAAAGGCTGCGATGCTTTTGAATATTAATTTGGACAGGCACCAGAAAGTCTGCCACAAGCGGGAAGGGCGACTGCACTTCTTGCAAGCCTCCGATGCCGACTCCAAGCACCGGCCCAGACGGAAGGGCAGCTCCGGGCATCCAGCGCGTGCCGAGCGCTAGAGGAAAGGGCAGCCCCAACGGCACCAGCCGGCAGCTCAGGAGCCTTTCTGTACAGCAGGAAGGAAATACGGACCTTCATTTAGGTGACTGGCATGTTCAATACTGCAAGGTTTGAGATCAGTGCTTACTGGCAGATTTAGTTCCAATAAATTTCAAGGTTGTAAGTATGCTAGCAAAGAACAACTTTTTAAACATTAGCCCAATTTGTTACTGTATGTTTTCTGATACAGAGGCTGGTAGAGAAGGAAAAAAAAAAGTTGTATTTGGCAAAGAAAAAAGGTGAGAAAGAGAGAAAGAGACAGAGGGAACACAAAATACCAAAGCATACGATCTTACATAAAAATGTTAAACATTAGCCTTTTGATGTTTATCCTCCCTTATAAGCAATGAAAATTCACGGCTGCCAGAGTTTAAGGCCTGGATTTTCAAAGAAAACCAAGGTAGAGAACAAATCTCACTCTAATTAAATCAGAATTGAACCCTTAACCCCCCCACATTGAAAATTCCTGCCTGGAGCTCTGCAGAAAAAACCCTTGTGCTTGTGTTCACGAGCATATGACCAAGCTACCAGCCATTTTAATTAAAAAGAACTGCCCTCCTGCCTGAAGAGGTGTTTTTTTTTTTTTTTTTAAGACAAACATTTGCTTCTCAAGCCTGCTTCCAATCCTGCAGTTATTTGGTGGAGTCAGCTTTTAGCACAGCGTGCTTCCCTCCAGACAAAGGTCCCTGGATTTCAGCAATCTCCAGCTCACCAGAGCCCCCTTCTCAGGCCAAAGCAAAGGCTGAACTAATACAACAGCCATGGGAACTTCATTTCCCAACCGCAGGGCTAGGAACGAAAGGAAGCCAGGAGGCCAAGCCAGAGAGTGAGGCAAGAGAACGTGGCTCTTCCAGAAGAGTCCTCCGAGCGCAGACATCGCGTGTGGCCCCAAACCCACGCTCATCCCGAGGCAGCAAACAGTGCGAAACAGCACAGAGCTCCGTGCAGGATCCAAATCCCAGCAGGTTCTGCTGTGCTCCATTCCAGAAAAGTTATTAAGGTCAGATGCAGACTCCGAACTCTTACAAACATTGCACAGCTACGCGGGACTCCTCAGCTAAGCAAAGCAAATGCATTTGCAGTGTTTTACAGAGCTAATCACTCCAGGACCCAAGCTCTAAAGTCACCTTCACAAAAGGCTCCCGGGGTTAGATTAAGAGAGCAAACAGGTGCATTTGAATGAGCCTGATTTCTTCATGTGAGCTGTAGAGGCTGATGGAGCAGCCTCCAAACCCTGACATGGTTTCCCTGCCTCCCCGCTCACAGCGCTGCCCTCGCTGCCCCCAGGGCTTTCCCTGCACTGGTTCATCCCCACACTGCACTGAGAACCATGTGAATTTCTGATACGCTTGTGCAGAGCACATAGTGCCTTGAAAGGACACAAGGAATGCTCAAAAATAATAATTAAAAAAAAAATCAGCTCATGATCAGCCAAAGAGAGGATCTGGGGAAGAGTCTGCCCTCTGCCATGCCAAAGAGACTGCCTGGCTGATTGCTAACTCAGGAGTTGGCAATCACTCGAATTACAAGAAACATGAGAACCTGGGAGGTTACAAAAACATATTAGTGACAGCAGGAATTTCTGGTCATTGTGTCTGAAAGGCGAGATTTTTATCTTCCTGGGGAGGAGGAAAAAAATAAAAATAAAAAGGCTGCAAAGGAGAAAGAGAAGGACCAGACTGCGACAGAAAGGGAGCAGCCATCTCTGTTAAAGGAGCAGGAAACGAGGCTGAACACAAAGAGCCTCCAAGGCTGCATTCCAGTTCCAAGCCGAAGGTACACACGTTTCCGTGCTCCAGCCTCCCACCTGTGTGGGAATCACTGCTGCCACGAGGAGCCGCGACAGCCTTGGTGTCGGCAGGGGATGCTTGGACACTGCCTTCCACGAGAGCCGCAGCGAGGAATGCAGCTGCCCTCCGTGCCAGCAAACAGGCTGAACTGCCGTGCGCGACGCAGAGACCGTCCAAACTGAGACTGCAAACCACTCGATCTGAACCTTTCCAGGATTACTTGGAAAATAACTCTTAAACTGCAGAAGAAGTGTTACGAAGACTGTCTAACTATGCAGTAAAAGTATTTTGTAAGATTTAACAGTCCTTTGATTTTAGACACATGGGTTGGGGCCCCTTCTCTCTTTCTGTTATTAAAGTACCACCCAGTGTCCTCTAAAGTCAAGGTCTCAGCTGAGGCTTTGGTTTTCTGTAGTGTTGACTCTCCCACAGCTCACTTTTCACAGGGCTCTTGCATTACAAGCAGATTTCAGAAATGTTGTTTGCTCCCTCCTCCTCCCTGCCCTTACCTTGGAGATGATTTACAGCGCCATAAGCTGTGTTTTTGCAAAGGATGGGCCTGCACTCACATGACACTTCCCACCTGTGAGAAGCTCCTTTGCTGTAGTTTCTTCGCTCCTCTCAGATTCATCAGTAATTTAATCTTGAAAAGTCTTATTCTTACCTGCTGTTTAAACATTACAAACAGCCTGTTCTGTTGCCTTGGCACTCAAGGTGTCAGCATGCCCAGCAAGGATGTCTCACCTTACTGTGGGTCACACCTCGCTATCCTGTGGCCATGCTGGAGACAGGCTATGATCCTGCATGTCTCTTCTGGAAAGTACAGGAAAGTGCCTGAAACCCATCCAGAGAAAGAAAAGGCCACTGAGATGACCAAGGAAAGGATTTGGGGTCACCACGGGATATCATCACTTGCCCACATATTTACTGGGCAAAAGGAAATTTACGGATATTATAAACCAATTCTTGCAGTCCAGCTGGCCAAAAGCTTTTCCGTTAACTGGCTTTTCAGGAAAACTGCACAGAGGAAGCCCCAAATACTGCCTTCCATTCTCACTGTTAGCCTTGAGCCTCCAAAAACACTCGGGTGAGCAGAAGTCTGGGGGACTGGTTACTGCCAAGACATCCTGTGGAAATGCACACAGAGCCACTGCCCTGTATATGTCAGCTGCACTACAGCATATGCAGAGATGACATGAAAATATGTGGCGGCTACTTGACTACAATACTCACCTTTTAATTTGAATGCCAAAACTGAAACTGCATTTTAGACAAGGTAATTCACAGCAGAAGCATCCTCCAAGCACACAGCATCTACTGGCCAGCCCACGGGCAAAGGAAGGATGGCAGAAGATCAGGCCACAACGTGGACCTCATGATTCTTCCCAACACTGGTCAGGCAGGGCCATAAGGGGTTTTGAAGCAGGAACCACCCACTGCACTGAGCTTCAGCCTTTAATCAGACAGACCATCTACCACAAAAGCAGAGAGAGTCACAGCCCAAGCCCCGAGCTCTCCGCCAGGTGAGCTGCAGAAGTTTTGACCCTTGCAGGGAGCAGCCACTCACCCAAAACCTGTAAACCAAGCGATGTTTATGGTGCCTCAGCAAGGCAGATTAGCCCCTCTTGAGCTTTAACCTCATGCTGCAAAGCACTGATGACCCATCCTATCCCCTATGCTGCAGGGAGGATCCAGAGATGACTTTAAAACAGAGAGAAGCTAGAAGCCCCAGCAGGGCAACTAGGGCAGCGTGGAACAAGACTTGCAGGGTCACTGCGGGGCTGTCTGCTCCTGGTCCCTGCTCTCTTGTTTTGTTTTCCTTTGCGGGTTTCACTTTCCCCGAGCTCGCAGCTCACGCGCCAGCAGAGAAGAAAGGGCACTTGCTCATCAAGGGCAGCACTAATTTTCTCCCATTTACACCACCTTTTAAAGAGTTATGCAAGCAGCGGTGCACTGCAGTTCTTTCATGTGGTTTTAAATTCATTTAAGGATATATAAAATTTTAAAGTTAATGAGTATTTTTTTTAAGCTGACAGGCCTCCTTCACAGTTGATGAGAACTGTTTTATAAGAAAGATGCTCTCAGAAAAAAGCTAGACTAACATGATGAAATCTCTTCAGCAGGCAAACTCCTCACATTGAATTGTCCGAGCTACCAATCACTAGAGATGTTCAGATTTAAAACAGTAATACTGTCTGCATATGGAATAAAATGTGTTTAAGGTTCTCTGGAACCTGAGGAGCTAAGTTATGTTAGTTCCGCAAAATAAGTAAATAAGAAGAAAAGACACAGTTAAGTATAACCCAGTTTGCCAGTTTTAAGGTTGTCTCTTCACCTACAGTTTTGAAAGGAGGGCAAAATTACGCTTAACTGAAACAGTGTGCCAGCTAAGAGCAACAACTGTGACTCAAAAAAAAAAAAATCCCCAAAACCGGAGGTATTTGTTTATTTTTGAGGTAGGGAGATATTTTGTGCCTGAAGATGAAACAATTTCCTGTAAACTGCTTCTTCACGTCAAGCATAACACTTCCCTGAAATTCACATTTTTTCCACATAGACTCTAGGTAAAGCAGACTCATTTATGAAGCAAAAGCAGCTTTGCCAGCCAGAGAACTCCAGTTAAAACCCCAGACACAGCAGAAAAATAAACTTCCCACACACGCCCTTTTTTCCTCCTCCCTCCCATACCCCTAGCTACATTATTCTAGATTTGCCTGGTTCTGCAGCAACGCTACCGCATGAGGATTGTTATGCTGGGTTAAATATATCCCAAATGTTTCAGCTTCATTGACATGTCCCCCACGGATTGCACAGCGCAGATGCAAGCGACAGTCAGACACTTAAAACCTATATACCGTGCTATATATTGGTGAAGGCCGTGAGTGCAGCATGTCATTCCCAAAGTTAGCCCAGCCCATCCAGAGGCATTTTCTAGGCACATACCTGTCCACTGCGGTGGGCAGCGGCAGTTGTACGTGTTCACGCCGTCCACACATATCCCCCCGTTTTGGCAATTATGGTTTGGGCAGTCATCGACGTTCCGCTCACAGATGCTTCCCTCAAAACCTAGAGGAGGCAGAAAATCCAGAGAGTGAAACGGACTTTCAAGTCTCTTCTGAAGAGAATTAACAGGGCCTGAGTAGCCCTGCAGAAAGCCTGACACAAGCTGTGCTCTCCATACAGGATCAGTTGGGTTATATTTTGACATCGCAGTTCTCAGGTTTACCAGTAACACACCAACCTTGCCATTTCTGTTGCATGAGACAGCTATTTATCAAAGTACAAGTGGATGCATGTTAATGTGGATGAATAAGTAATTCCAGAATGCAGAGATTAATTTAAAACATCAGCTTTGCCTCTTCACTGCTTTGGAATGCACCATTAACATGAGACAGGCCTTTCATCCCAAACCCCATCTTTAACCACCCTCTGCTTTTAATGCCCCACTCCAGACAGTTCCCCAACATCTGCGTCAAGTCAGAGAGACCCTCTGAACAACATCTGGTCGCACACAGATCCCGTTACGTGGCAGAGAGGCTGCGGCCGCCAACCTTTGTCTCAACTTCTCCAGACTACAGCTGCTCTAAATGAGACACCTGAAAAGATCCATAGCAATTCCCACCCCAGAGTCCCCAGCACTTCAGGTAAGAGCCACAAGGCAAGAGGAGCACTGTTCCTTAGCCATAAGAAGTGCTATACGATCCACAAGCAAGGAGGACTTCTCTGAAACACCGAACACCACACACCACCAGCCTGTAACACCACCCTGCCCTGTTGCTTTGAAGCCTCCCTCCTTCACTCAAGATCCTGCAGGCCTCATGACAGCAGGGAAGGCAAAAGCCAGGAAGAAACGTGACAAGCTTGGTCTGAAGTCAACTCACTGCAGTAGGTCGGCCATAAAACACAAAACAGGAGTGTCCTAAACTTGCTTTTGAGCTCAAGGGGAACCACCCCAATGACCACATGCTCCACATATGCTGGCAACATGATCAGCACGGAAAAGCACCCAGAAGCAAGAGCTCACAGGGTTTTAGCTCCTGTCATCTAAGCTTGAACTTGACTTACCCTCCTTTCTAGTAAGTACTTGATAAGAGGCATCTATTTAAAACCATCTCGTCACACTGCAAGACCCAAAGATTGAACAAAATTATAGTATGAGAGTCATTGCATTGGTAGATCCTCATCAAGCCACTGCACATTTCCTTACATTTTCACCAGCTATACTGAAGTCCTCAAGCACCTTACACAAACACATGAAGCCATTAATCCACCTCACTACAGGACACACTACAGGAGGGAAACAGAAACCATTCTCTTACAAAGGGATGTAGTAAAAAGATTCAAGAGTTGTGAAACGTAGCCAAGTGTGTTTATCCAAAGATATCTCCGAAGGAAAGGAATCAGAAAGGAGGGAGATGTTGACAATGACACTATTTGAGTGTACAGCTGAAAAAAACACAAGTTTCCTTTTTGGTAACTTCCCAACTCCCAAATTCCCTTCATTTCTTTCTTGCGCTGAAGAACAACTTTAGCTCTGGTTCAGATCATCTAGAAGGTTTAACTGCAAACTCTTTCCGTTTGGTTGAAGCCTGATACACACTACAACATTGTGATCTGCTCGGTTTGTAAATAAAGTCATCCTAAGGAAGTTTAGCTGTCGTTTTGAGCTGTGGCAGTTTTGAGTCAAAGCACCTATATCTGAGCATTACAAGCATTAAGTTCCTCCAAGACACGTGAGCAGAACCCCTCATTTTTCACAAACTGGGTCCCTGGATGTGATTTTGCAGTTACATAATCTGAATCTCTTCCAGAAGGCCAAAGAGTTCACAGCTTCGATGTGTTTGGACACCTGACCCGGCTTCCTGCTCGCCCCATGCTGGGGTTGACGTGTTGTCCTTCGCTTTCTCATTCTCCCTCCGAGGGAACAGTCTGCAGCACGCGGCCTGACTCCTGCTCTGCATCCCCAAGCACCGAAAACCGGGGAATGAGAACCTCAAGGGGGAAAGATCCTGCAGGACGGCTCACCTGTGGGGGCAGAAAGTCACCCGAACATCAGTTCCAAGTTATTGACAGGCTGTGGCGTTGCTGACCAGAAAGGAGGCGCTTCAGCGGAGAGCATTAGTGCCGACCACATCGTTCCGACGCGCGCGGCTCGGGCACCCGGGCTGCTCGGTAGGAGCTCAGCGCCCCGCGGAGCAGCAGCGCACGGGCCCGGCGGCACCGCGGAGCCGCGACGCTCGCGGCCGCGCAGCGCCGGGAGGCGACTTCCTCTTTCCAGGAAGTGCTCCGGTTCCCATAAACAGCCTGCTGGGCTTTGACAGATAGTTTCCTGAACGAGCTCTTGGAATTCCCTAGGGTTCTTATCTTAGTTAATGGGTAATTATTTTGATGGATAACAATGAATAATCACTTTCCCAGCTAAGAACTTCCTCTATTGACTTGTTTAACATTCCACTAATGGTTAGCTGCCAAAAGAGCTCCTTTTTTGTCAAATATTTGCAACTACGAGCTCATTTTGTATTTTAAAGGAGTTAATCCTGCAGGTTACACCTCCCTCACAGTAGTATTTATTACTACAGCTATCTTATGACTCACCCAACATGCTTCTCATCCACAACTTTGTTTTATTTAAAATCCATAAAGATATGGCTATGGTAGATGGATGCAGAACAACAGGTTACCTTTCATACAGGCAGAGTATGGACAGTACAGATAGCTCTTACACTTGCCACTAAATGCTGACATATCCCAATACACATGACTTTATAGGTTATCAAATGCAAGTTTTGGTTTGTGTAAATATACAAGTGAATTGAAAAAATATCTACATAACCAGTGCTCATGCTACTGTCAAAAAAGCTGTTCCTACATTTACAAAAATAAATAAATAAATAAATACAATTCACTTGAAGTAAGAGTGGTCTTGTTCTGGTTTAAGTGAGAGCACAACCACTTGAGCAGTTTCCATTACTGATGAAAAGGATACACACAGAGTATCTACTATTAATAGAAAAAAAAAGTAAACTTCAGTATTTCTGTGGAAAAGAGCATATCAGAAGATACTAAAGAGAACATCTACAGGAAACCAGAACCCATTTCAGCACGTGTTCAGGAGTGACTTTGTTATGCTTAAATTGCTGATCAGGCATAATCCGTTTCTTCAAAGCAGCAGCACAGGTCACAAGATGCAAGGTCTTACCAAAAAACATCCCAGCAGTTCAAGAGGTTACGACCTGTTGTCTCTACCCCCATAATGCTGGGCTATGTTAACATCTTAAGCCAGTCCAGAAAGACGGGCTAGAGCAATTCCATTTATAGCCACAGTGTCATCAGCACTGCTCCAATGTGGACAGGGAATCTAAACAGGAATTCCTATCCCATGATCTCGGCCCTCTCTTCCACATCAAGGGGACTTGTTCCAATATTCCCAGCGTGTGACAGGCCACCATTTCTCTTCTCTGTTGACCTCCTATTCCCAGACAAATCCCTTCCCAGCACTCCAGAAATTTCATGGTACACACTTGAAGGTAAGGGGGAAGAAATGGCTGGGTGTGTTGCACTTATCAAAGAGGCATTTTGACCTCTCCAACCTCTCCTTTTTTTGCTCTTTTTCATATGACTACTTTTAAAAATAAAGTTAACAAAACACAGCCAACTTAAATACAGGAAACGCAGAAATGAAGGCTCTCAAAGCAGCATTAACTCACCCACATTATTCATGTTGTGTAACAAGTCCAAAAACACAACTCATAATCCAAAATATGTGTGAGCAGCAGTGTGGGTGTGTAACTGTTACTATAGTAATCTCCTTTTCATTTCCTGACCATAGCTTGGCCAGCCCACACACTTGTCTAATGGAAATGTGCTCTTACCCAGTCTTGCATCCCTCCAAGAGGGTCATTAATGCAAACAGCACTGTCTTACAGGACTAAGTCCCTTATACTTTATCCTCTGCTCCTCCTCCTCCTGTCACGCTGCTTCTGCAGGATATCTTACATACTTTACACTGGCTAAAGGGATTTGAATTTAAGAAAATTCTGGATTTCAGTAATTAAACTAGTCAAGTCTTAATTCAAAAATACCCAGCTTAGTTTCCTTTTAAAAATATGTAACAGGAAAAGGCAATAAGTTCCCTGAAAAAGCAACAATTCACTAGGATGTTAAATTTTCTTAGATTCTAGGTGTTCAAGCATTGTTTCTTCAAGCACAGTTAGAAACAGCTGCTTTCACACAAAGGCAAAGATGAGACAACTTTCTATTTTAAGACAAACTTTCCTAAATTTGTTTAAGTCACATGTTTGCTCAGACTACCCTGAAATTTGTTGTGCAGACACCAGTTAAGGTTGGCAACACGCATTAAAGGTCACTTGAGTCAGCACTTCAATACAAAGGTCTCTTAGAAGAAAGAATTTCTCACAATTTCTAAAGACTCTTTCTGCACTTACCTAGGGCTCTAGGTAACTTCTGGAGAATCCAGTCTCTTGACATTCACCCTAAATAGTATATGGCAGCTACATCTTTCATATAAACAGTAACAACAACAAAAAATGTGTAAGGGAAAAGAGTTTTCTAGATTACCACACACTAAGCGTTGGTGTGCCAGACTGCAATGCACTCAGGGAGGAAGTCTAGTCAAAAGAATTTCCAAACAATTAGTTTCCCATGGGTTGAATCACTCTCAGTAAAATATCTGCATCCTCTAAAACCCCCAATGTACACAGAATAGTAGCGTGGTCAGTATGACAACTGCAGGACGAGCAGCAAGGCAGGATGAGCACGTTAGGCTTCTAAGTGAGTGGGATCTGATCATTTGTAAAGACAGGTGTCCTTGGCAAGTAGAGCCCACCTCGACATACAGATCCAAATTAGCACATGATCCTGTATAAGAGCATAATCCCTGATGAGGATGAACTCAAAACAGATAAAGTTACCAGAGAAAAAGCAGGCATAACTTACCTGAGGGCTGTATGAGACAGAATATAGGGTCAATTAGAAATAATACCCCATAAGATTTGGAGGAATGGGAAAGAATGGAACAGGAACTAGCATGCTCTAGGGACAGAGAAAGACCAACACTTGACTTTCTTAAAACTTTGAAAAAAAGTTAATTATGGTCTGTGTTGACACAAACCATGTATTTATAGGCCTTCAAAGTCTTTATGTACCATGGTATTTAGCACTCTTGCAGGGCATGAGGAGATAACCGAATTCCGCCAATCTACATGATAGCTTTTACCTCACTGCCTTGCTGACATTTCTCCTTCAAATTCCACATTACACCAGCATCACACAGAAACTCCAGGAGCTTTCATTTCAGGAGACTCCAGCCTGAATCCAATGACGGGACTACAAAACCAAGCACTCTGAAGAAAGAGCATTTACCTGGCAGACAGTTGCACTCGAAGGTGAAGTCACTGGTCTGATGGCAGGTCCCCCCGTTCATGCAGGGCGAGGGCGAACACGGCACGTAGGGGCTCTCGCAGCGGTGCCCCGTGAAGCCCGGCTTGCACTGGCATCGGTACGAGCCAGGCACGTTGACACAGGTCCCCCCGTGCTGACAGAGGGCTGAAGTAGCACATTCGTTTACATCTATCTCACACCTCTGGCCAGTATAGCCAGGTGGACAGATGCAGGAGAACTTGTTCCCGGATACTGTGCATGTACTTCCATTGGCACAAGGCTGAGACGTGCAGGCATCAATCCACTGGCAGTCCCTCCCTGGGAAATCAAGGCAGAGCATTACGTTAATAAGAAACCAATCTGATGCAAAGTAGTATTTCCTTCATGCTACTTCATAACTATGTAGGTGAAGATTTAGTACACCAATCATCTAAATTAATTTTCCTGCAACACGTTTATGTATGCCTGCATTTTATAGTATTATATTTGAAACAAAAATCAACTTGCTGGTTACAGTAAGAAATTGTTTTACAATTTGGTGTACAAATTGTTCTACAATTTACAATTGCTTTACATTTATACGGTAGCAGCAAAATATAAGATTTCATAATTTCTAAGAAATAAAGCAAGACCCGAAATCATGCTGCACAATGACATTTCAGTCAGTCAGTCTGCATCCCATTCGAGAACAAAAGGAGCAAGTTTCCATATTCCCACTCAGGCAAGAAAATAAAACTTTTCCATAGAGACATTTTGCTGGCCAAGTTCACTTCATTTTTTTCTAGAAGGTAGACTATGCTTTGGAAACGCAACAGCCATTCCACAGTCAGTTTTTCCTTGTGGAATTGCCTCCCCGTGTCAGTGCAAAGGGCAGGCCGTTTGATTTCCCTACCCCTTATCCCCCTTTTTTGGCCATCATGTCACACGCGCTTCCTCGCGTGTCCCATGCTGGAGCTCTGGGCGCGTATGAGGAACGGCCCAGAGCGCCCCAGGACGCCCCAGCTCACAGCACGGGGAGCGTGCAGGGAGCGATGCCGAGCCCACCTGTGTACCCCGGGGCACAGGCACACTCGTAGCTCTCCTGGCTGTGGGGATGGCAGGTTCCTCCGTGCAGGCAGGGCTGGGACACGAAGCAGACGTGCGACTCGGAGTACTGACACTCCTCTCCGCGGAAGCCGGGGGCACATCTGCACGTCGCCTTTCCTATGAGGGACGTCGTTTCACAGGTTCCCCCGTTCCTGCAGGTGTTGTTCTCGCAGGGGTTCCTGTACTGGCAGTAGTCTCCCAGAAAGCCTTCCCGACACCTGCAAGAGAGAAGGAATGACTTGCAGCACACATATCTCAAGCACCGCGCTCCTGGGGACGCACCAGGAACTACCACCTATTGCCACATCTGTGCAGTAACGCGACATCCCTTCAAAACTGAAGCCCGAGCATCAAAAGAACTGCTGAACAATATTTTTCCCCATCTTTTTCAGAGCAAAAGCAAGCATTTTAATAAGAACTATTAGCACCAGGCATTATCCAGCTTCGGAAGGTAGTTACAAAGCCTGCACAAACGCAGCGCCCAAGGCCTCACCATGCCCAGCAGATCCCCCCCAGCATTCCCGTGGGATGGGAACACGGTGCTCCCTGCGGGCTCCCACGCTCCGGCGGCTCCCACGGCGGGACGGGGACACCCGGCTAGCTGGAGCTGGGGCAATATTTTATACAAAGCCCCGCAATGGCAGAATAATTGCGGCTATCTCTTCTCCAACCTAAGCTTGTGTCAATACAGCCTGACTGCGCTTGTCAGCCGCAATCCATCTTCTGTTTGGCCTTTGTACTGGGAATTTTTCCATTTAATTTCCAGCGGCACAGGACCCCGGGAAGCATGCAGGCAGACACCACCTGCGTGTCATTCACTCCTCCCTCAGCTTCTTTCAGGTAGCAGATAGCTGCAAGATTATGAGAGACCCCAAAATAAAAAGGAACACACACATACACCTCGAACGGGACTGTCGACTTGCAGGGTTTTCCTGCAGTCCACAGCTGCCTGCTTTAACTGATAAGTAATCTAAGATACACAGAGCTTGTGTGAGAGAACATTTTCTTACTCTCCCCGAGTAAGCGAGTCGGCCCACAACCCCTGCTTTACTACTGCCAAGTCTTAGATCTAGAAAGAAAACGTTTGAAGCATCTTCCCCAAAATAGGGACTAATCCGGGAAAGAAAGACTCCATTTTAGAGCTCTTCAGTGAGTGGAAGGTGAATTCCCAACGTGACAGTTTGCACACCTGAAGTTCTTCTGGCCAAAGAGCAAATGAGATTATTTACACCCAAAAATTTCATGGCACAAGCATTATTGGGCCGCTTTATAGGTCTGGTGCCTGCTCTTTAAGAAGGAAGATAAAGAATTCAAATAAATTCAAAGAAGCGAAAAGTAGCAATACATACAAAATCCCTGACACCATGAAAGGCTCAGGTCCCTCAGTCTATTTAATCAGAGAGAAAAGGGAAGAAGATACTTGATCACAGGCTGAAAGTACACAAAAAGAAACTAAGATTTACAATTCCCAGGCTAGAAGCTGCAGCAGTAACAGGACTCAGTAGCCAGAAGTTCCAGTTAGATACATTCAAATTAGAAACAGGACAACATCCCCATCTTCGTACATGTACTTAAATATGGTTTTTCAACAGCGTAAGTAAACTGCTGGGATAATCTAATTAAGGTTGCAGTGGAATTTCTCCATGACTTATGCTTTAAAAGAAAAAAAAATCAACTTAGTTGTTTTACAAAGCACATACACATAGTGCAAACAAAGCTATTCACAGAAGTATTATCTAAGGTATGCAAGAGGTCACTACTAGATGACCACAACTGTGTTTTTCCTCATGTTTAAATCCATTAACCTGGTTTAGCCATAAGTTTAAAGCAACTGAGCCATATAATAGCTGGGTGTAATCATAACTTGCTATTCCCCACATCCAAATTCGTGTCCTTTCACTTAATACTTGCAACCTCGCATGCAAGAATTGAGACGGAAGGAGGGATTTAGAGGGCAAGGCAGCATTAATAAAGCGGCGCAGAGGGAACCGCGGGCCAGAGCAGCACGTACAGAAGAGGCTCCGGCTCTCGCGCCACCCTCTGTGCAGCAGCGCGGGGCTGCCCCCGCGCACGGAGCGCGGTCTGCGTCTGCCCCGGACCCAAATTCGGGCACTTTGGCAGGTTTCTGACGTCCCAAAGTGCTCCTGGGAACGCTTGATGCTGGCACCAAAAGGCCTTCCCGTGCCAGAAGCAGCGGGGCGGCTCCTCCAGCTCGGGCTCTCTGTCCTTGCAGAGGAAAACGCCCTCGGGAACACGCTGCAGGGGAAGGCCAGCCCGGGCACGGCGGCACCGCGGACGGAGGCGGCCCCTGCACCCCACTTTGCGCTCCGCTTGGATAAGCACTGGAGCACGGAGCTCGCCAGCCTCTCCGGCAGCAGCACCGGCCTTTTGGAGCGTCAAAGAACAAAAACCCCCTCTACGGTTCCGGTTTTCTGCCACGTCTCCCGTGCCCAACACTCGCAGGCACAAATCCCAGTAATTTACTTCTCAATGTTGGTGTGGGCAAAACTGCAAATATTTGCCCTGCTATTCATGTTGGGCACCAGATTGGTTCTATAAAAATAGAGGCAAACACTGAAAAAATCTGGGTCTCAGTCCAGTCTTTTTAAAAAGGATATGATTATCTGCTCTATTCAGAGCCTCAGCAGCAACTCCAGCTTCCTCCGCTTAGCCAGAGTTGGTCCTCATCCCAAGTCACTCTTTCAAGTTCTCAAAAAAAGAAAAAAAGCCACTTGTCTACCAGAGCAGCTTAAAATTGTAGCAGCTTGTGTCAGCTCCAAAGGACATGCTCAGAACAGGAAACCAAATCTTTTCCAAATAAAAGCCACTGTTTCTCCTCAGTTTTCCATCTGATACTCAGAAACGGCAACAGGAAGATGAAGTTTGTTCTGGCACTTTCTGGAAATACATGCGCTCTCTT